ACCAATGCTTCAAAAGTTGAACAAACTGGTTTACAAAGTTTTGCCTCATCCACTATATTCACCTGACCTCTTGCTAACTGACTACCACTTCTTCAAGCATCTTGACAATGTTTTGCAGGGAAAACACTTCCACAACCAGCATTAGAAAATGCTTTCCAAAAGTTCGTCAAATCCCAAAGCATGAATTTTTACACTACAGGAATAAAAAAAAAACCTTATTTCTCATTGGCAAAAATATTTTGATTACAATGGTTCCTATTTTGATGAATAAAGATGTGTTTGAGCCTAGTTATAATAATTTAAAATTCATGATCCAAAATCGCAATTACTTTTGCACCAACCTAATATATATACCAATAGAAAAAACTTATAATGACAATGGTCCATTATAACCCCTCACTGTTCCAGCTGAAAAATAGAATTAAGAGGATGCAATGACTACAAGATAAGGCAAATATTTAAATCAGGCCATCCGACCCAAGAACCCATCCATTTTACCATGATTGCCATTTATGACAGTCCATTCCGTGTAATGTTCTTATTGGCTTACAAGCTGCTGTATACATGCTTCAAAATTTACTGATTAGCAGACTTTGAAATCCCTGACTCCTAGTTTAGGCTTGTTCTTTAGTAATACCCATTTTTTTTTTTTTTTTAAAAACTGAAACATACCTTACCAAGTAACGGAGCAAAGCCAGGCAGATTAAAAAGTGGGCTGGGAGCCACTTGTAGGTAAGAAGGTGCTGTTTGAAGAGAATTTCTTGCAATGAGGAAGTTTGCTTAGCCATAAACATATCCCATAATCTGAATGTTATAAATACATTATAGTCCCAAGGGTTCTTCTGTAAGAAACAGAAACCTGCTAGAGAAAGAGGGAGTCTTTATGGAAACAAATCCATTTGTTTTGGGAAACAACAACAACAAACCCTTAAATTGTCTACAAGTCCCTAAAGTTTTCTTTGTAATCCCACAGTTACCCTGCTTCATGATTCTTCATAATATATGGCAGGACAACTCTATAATTATTATATTACTTAATTAATAATAATATGGCATTGCTATAACATAATTATATTATATTGATCATATTAATTATCAATACTTTCGTCTCTTGCCATCCATCCCTGAATTTGTCACCTTTGCTCAATCCTCCTGGTATTTAAATAGCTAATCTAGTGCTGGCGGCCAGGTTAATAATGTGCACATCTCTAAATGACTTCATAGTGACCTTCACAACTCTATTTGTTTGGTCTTTCCTTTTATGTTCTTTTATATTAACTGATTTGGCCCTTGGTAATAATTAAAAGAACTTGTTAAAATATTCACCAAAGTCAATAGATAAGAATTTCTGTGAACAACATGTCTTGTGACATGAGCTTGTCTCCCAAAGCGCAAAACCAATGAAGAAAAGTGTTTTAAAAACTGGTCCAGGTTGATACCTGTGTATATAAAGGCATGTGTGTACTCATTCATTAAATATTTATTAAGCTTCTATGTGCCCGGTCTGTCCTAGGCAGTGACAAGTGAAAACCTCTGTCTTCACAGAACTGTCATCCTAGTGGGGTAAAATGAAAGAGATGGATAATAAGTGGAATATATTATACGTCATATGGAGATAACTGCTATGAAGACAACAAGGCAGAGAAAGATGCTGGAGTTTAGGGATTGTGTTTTAAAATAGGGAAATTAGGTTAATTAGAGACCTCAGTGAGACAAGGGACCAAGCCATGAGGATACAGGGAATTTCCCAGACAGAGGAGTGTCCATTGAGTTCTAGGAACCACACACAGGCTGGTGTGTTAGGAATCAGGGAAGTCTAGCAGCAAATGAGGCCAGAAAGAGATTAGGGATGCCTGAATTTAAAGGTCCTCATATTTCATACATAAAAATTTGCCTTTTTCTTGGTGTGAGACAGGAAACCTTTGAGCATGAAAGTGGCATGGTCAGACTCACACTTCTCCGAGGAAGATCAGCTGGCTGTGGGGTGGAAAAGGCCAAGGGAAAAGCAGGAGGCTGTTAAGAGGTGATGGCAATTATCCAGGTGACAGGAGGGTGGTTTGGGCCAGCACGGTAGCAATGGAGGCAGAGAGAAGAATTTTGAATTCTGGATAATTTACAAAAAGTGGAGCCAATAGGATTTACCAGCAGGTTGGACGTGAAGCATGGAGAAAGGGATTACGGTTTTCAGTATGCGTGTGTGTGTACTGGTGCATGTGTCTATGTAAATCCTAAAATTACCCAAACATATCTATTGTCATTGTTTACTTATGTTTTTTTTTTTTTGCTCTACTTTTTTGGAGTGGGATGTTCTCAGTCTTGTTCTTGAGCTGTACCCAGTGTTTAGAACAATATATCTTCTTCTCTCACAAAAGGAATAGAATGTTTAATTGTGGTTAACGCTTACAGAAAGGTTGTCAAGAGCTCTGTTGTTGTCTTCCATATTTTCAGCATTAAGCTTGTATTCATTTTTAAAAAAACTTTATTTAATTACAGAAAATCAAAGAAATTTGCAGAATTATAAGATAGAAACACTTAAAAATGCTTATGGAGACCATCATTAAAAAGTGAAAGATTTTACACCTTATAGACAGAATGATGTTATTTTGAGAGCCAATGTTAATGTGAGCAAATGAATCCAAACCGTATAAAATAATGAATCCAAATCATATTAAATAACCTGTATGATATGCAGAAGCAGGTGCCAAGGAAAAATAGATTTTATTAGTATTGTTTTTCTACAAGGACACTCCAGGGACAACTCTTAGTCAGCTAGTCAACAGTCTTGTCAACAAACCGTAGTTTCGGAAAAGAAGGATTTTCTAGAGATATGAGTCCTTCTATAACCAGCATATTTCTGTCAAATTTGCCTGAGTTAAAGTTTATGGAATATTATTACTCACATAAATACATGCCTTTAATTCGGTTCTTTGTAAAAAGCAGAGCATTAGAGACAGTTCGTTTGTTACTAAGACCACAGTTATACATATAACTCATTTCACATTTTTGCAAGCAGTGCAAATAAACCTGGAGTTCTTCAGTGGTTCACAGGTCCACATACATTCTGAAATCCTAAAAAGCTCTGAATACTAAAAGGTTTTTGGGAAACTCACCTGGAGCAAAGCCAGACCGACCTGAACTCGTTTGGTGGTGAACCTATATTAGGCAGCCTTGAAGCTATGTATAGTTTCTACATATCTCAACTAATGTGATGCTCATCTATGTCACTGCAGAAATAGTAAAATGTTTTACCACAGGGTGTTATGCTGTGTTATGTAATATACAGTTATAAGCACTCAATCATCTTTCTAAGAATTCTGTCTTCTGAGATACACCTGGCCTTACAGGGTTTGCGGAAGGGACTTTACCCACACTGTATTTGCTGTTTGGGGGATCAGTGTATTGGCATCACTCTTTACAAGAGTGATGGCAGCTTTCTTGCCCTGGTGAATGTAGCAGGACACCTTTTCTAGGTACCCAGAGCTTCTGCAGAGCAGAGTCTGTGTCCAACCTGCCCATCTATAGCTCACCTGTGCGGGTACTGTGCTTTGGGTAAATACCACTTTGGGGTGATGAAGCTTCTGGCCAATTCCTTCCAAGGTAGGGCAACCCCTTGGTGAAAGGTAGCATGCAGCTGAGTTTCCGTGGGCTCCTGTCCTGTCATCCATCAGTGATGGGGCATGGGAACTAGGAGACATTCTGGTGATGGTCAAAGGTGTGACTCCAAGCCACATCAATGACACCTCTAGCTCTTTCAATGAAAACAGAATCTTCCATGGGCATGAGGGGCTCATGTGTCTCAGGGCAGTAGCAAAGTCATCAAGACCCTGACAAGTCAACTTAGTCTTGAACTGGGATTCCAGTTCCACCATATTCAGACAGTGCCATCTTGAGTAACCCAGTTCCTTACTGTAATCCATAAGATCTATCCTGGCTCATAGTAAGCTTACTACATAAGGAGAAGGTATTCCATCTGTGATCCTGGGAGATTCCTAACCTGTGAATTCCATAGCCCCCTCTTTCAAATCGTGGATATTCCTTTCTCCACCTTCAACTTCCCAAGCTCTTAATTTTGAGATGGAAGCACTGGTCATGGATATAGAAATCTAGGAGAATCCCCAAGATACAAGAACACTCAGAGTCCTCAAGGACCAGGGAAATGAGGGATATACCTTTCTCCCAGTGCAGAACTCCTATGACTTGTTATGCCTGGAAAGGCAGGCGCTGCCTGCCCAACAAAGCTCATCTCTGATCAAAAGCCCCGTCGATATTGGAAGGCAGCTAATGTGGCCTCCCCTACTTCTCAGGATTTGTACCCTTGCTCTTGGATACAAGGCACAACGTAGATATCTTCACTTGGGTACTGGAGGAACTTAACGCTTCACTCTTGGGATAAGGTGGGGAGGCGGTGTTGGTTGTCAGCGTGTGCGTTGAGGGGGGTGATTTAAATGGCTCTGGAACTTGAAGTTGTTCCAGAAAACACCCGAGCGGCCAGTAGAGCCAGTATCTTTTCATAAAAATCCACAAAGCTCACAAGAAAGGCTGCCATTGGTCAGACTCCCTGGTCACCCAAATGAGGAAGGGAAAGACAAACCCCGCCCAAGTTCCAAGGGATGGGAGTCAGCATCAAGGACTTCTGGTCAACTCCAGGATAGTAGACAGCGGAGCGGGCACTTCCAAGGGTGCAGGAGCAAAGCAGTCCTCTCCAGCCGTGCACTGCACCGGCGGCCGCGCGTGGGTTGGGGTCTGCTCGGGAAGCGGACACCAAATCGAGGAGAAGCGCGAGCGGCTGAGGGAGAGTCCAGAGAGCCTTAAGCCAGGCAAAAGGGCTGCGGCGTCTTCGGACCGAACGGATTTCGCCCGCGCGTCCTCCGGAGCTCCGAGGGGGGCGTCCTCCCAGAGGGGGCGCAGCGCCCCCAGCACCGCACCCCCTGCCCAGCGCCACTAGCCCCCCCCAGCAGCGTCAGGGCAGGGGTCCCGGGCGAGGACAGAGATCTGTGGCCATGGCCGAGGCCACGGAGCCTGAGGGCGGCGCCCCGGGTCCCCAGGGGTCGCCCGAGGGCCCCGCGCTTCCGGAGGAGAGACCCGGCGAGCCAGGGGCCGTGGGCCCGGGGGAGGAGGAGCAAGGGACGAGCGGGGACGCCGCGG